GCAGCTTCAAAGTCGCGCTTCGGTTGATCAGCATCCCCACGCTGCTTCGGGAGTTTTTTTTTGCGAATGGCCTGCCGGTCTGAAGTCATGCGATCTATGGCTGATGCCATTGATGCCTTGAAGTCTAAGACTAGCAATGCATAGATTTTCAAATGCACGAACAGATGCACTCCCTGAGCTCTGAAGTACGAAAACACTGTGCATTATGCGTGTCGAGCATTGGTTGAGTAGATGCTGGTGCTGTAATGCTCCCTACGCTACTGCACTGCTGCTATGGAAAAAATTTCTGATCTTTTTGCGCGTCCCGATGAGATTCAAGTCTGCCAAACAGTTGAAGACGCCTGATCCAGCTCGCATGTTCAGGAAGCCGACCGAGTGATGATCTTGCTCGGGTTTTTGCCAATTAGCTGCCAAGATCAGGATATAAATTCTTGGAAGTTCTGATTCCTGCAAGAGTACTAAGCAGATCTAAGCAGGCAGCTGACGAAAGATCCATTCCGATCCATGCTGCCAGATTGGCCTTCGGTTGTGTGCTTGTGTGGAAAGGCTCAAAAGTTGCATCGCAAAAGCATGTGTAAGCTGTCAGAACTCAAAGTAGTGTGCTAAGCACGACTGAAGAGTCTCCCATGTGTCGAGAACATACCGCAAGCCACACATCTGCCACCTACACGTAAAGTGATGCCGCCCAAACTCCAGCGACATGGACGGAGGGCAAATCCTTACAATGCGTGCCTTGGCACGTCTGTGACCACTCTAACTCCAGTGCTCCCACAGTCGTGCGGCTCACAGGTATGTGCAGAGGGACCGGCAGAAGAAGTATTACGAACGGCAGAAGACGCATGCGCGTTTCAAGCGTCTCCAGCGATACGAGGACACACTTGTGTAGAACTTTGGTCGAAGCCCTGCCTCTTGGTTTGGGGCATCGGCTGTCATATCGGCAGCTGCATGATTGCTGGCTTTTTGCCTTGCTTTGGCCGACCTTCTGCTGCCTTGGCTTTCCTGACTTGCCGCCCTGCTTCCAACTTGGGTCCGCCGACAGCTTCCTCTTAAGGCAGCCCGTGCTCCACATCTCCACATCCCTAAATCCTTCTGAGCCCATCTACGCCCCAAACTCCCCACGCGACCAATGTCTGGGCGTTCAGGAGCGGACCCAGGCTGTGCCAGCGGAGCAAGCCCTGCTCGAGCGCGTGCTTACTGAGGCACGGGACTTGTGTAAGACCGTGGGTTCAGGGACCGGTCTGGAGCCGCTTTGAGTCTGGACTTGCCAGGGCCCGGACGCTCTGGAAGCTGACTATGCCGCCCACTCGCAGCCAGCATGCCAGAGTAAGCGTAGCCATCTATCGTTTTGTTGAAGAGGGTTTTCGGGAGATAGATTCCTGGAGGCAGGGAGGTATCTTCACCTAAGAACAAAGAGGCTATAAGTTTTGATAGACAGTGGAAAATTCAATGGGGTCGCTCAATTCGTTCGGCATTTTTCCTTGCCCAACCTCTCCTACCCATCCCTACCCTGAATCCTAGAGGAGGTATACTGCCATGATAGTCTTGGAACTTCCCCACTGTGACGACCAGCTGGATGTTGGTGGTCGTTAGACAAGTGTGATGAAGATCTGGATTGATCTAGGTACCCTTCCGGCCCTAAAGGCCTTCTGTTCCCCGTATGCACTGAGGAGCGGCGCCTCCAGCTGACTTATGGTGTGCAAGGTGGGATGTTTGTTTTGCTTGTCAGGTTCGTGCTTCTCAAGATCCCATCTTTGTCTTTTCATAAAGGTGGCACGGGGGCGATGCGCTGCTGGCAGAAGCCGAGCCCAAACAACTCAGAACTGGACTCCCAGCCCCGAGAACTGGGCCATCCAGCCCGAACATCTTGCGGCACGTACTGGTCTACGGATACTGGCACATCCAAGCAACGGTGCTCCTGTTTGTAATCCAAGCGCTCTGAACTTTCAACCAGTCAATACCTACACCCTTTGGGCGGAAATAGGCCCCGACCTCAACTAAGGAAGTAGTTCTTGCAGGTGACATGACCTCCAACAAAGCCGAGGCAGTCTTGTGGGATGCCAGACATGGTGATTTCCAGTGTAGAGCACCTTCAGTGACCTTCTGCCCTAAGCCTTGGAAACCCTAGGCCATTTGAATTCCTTCTTGGGACATCTTTCGACACGGCTGCACTCTGTGGCCCGTGGCCTCAAGAAGGTTACATGCTTCGCAGTGGAATCCAGGAGGCAGAAGCCAAGCCGCTGGTCAAGAAGTTGAAGCGCAAGAGGACACGGTGAGTGCATTCATCAGATCGTTAACACCTGCTGCTGTATGTTCAGACCGGGGGAAAAGTGAAACATGCGACTGGTGGCTATGCTTATGTCACATCTTGCACTTGCAGAATCAGAGCTTACTGTTGTGGATGGTGGAGTACCCCCGAAAGACTTCAAGATTGCGGAAGTGCATGGAACGCCTCGCAGGAGAAGCGTTCAAGCTTCACCCAAAGCAGCGGCAGCTGATCCAGGTGGTCGCAGCTGCAAAGCTCTGCAGATTTAAGATGCAACATTGAGAGTTTGAAAACTCACGCCCTCCACCCTATCCCCCCCAAAGCCCTGAAGTTTTGTATCCAGTCACCCCAAGCTACCTGCTTTAACCCTGAAAGACGCCAGCTGGCTGTCAATTAGATCGACAGGCCCAGCAGCCGCAGGCATTTCGCCCCCGGTGCCACAGCGTGGGCGAGGCCGATTTGATCTAACAGGTGAACAGGGCTACGGTGCAGGGTGTTCAGCTCCTGGGCTGCGGGCTCCGAGCTCGTGCAGGAAGACATACAATGCGGTTTATCAGAGTCTTGCCCTGTTCTCTTCTGAGGTGCCGTGTTTGCAAGCAAGAACCTCTTTTGTTGCTGTACTTCTCTTCGTTTGGAGTTTACCGGTGGTCGGACTCCGCCAAGAACTGCCAGGTCGCAAAGCCGACAAGAGAGCAAAAGATTGGTCCTCAGAGCAAAGGAGCACTGATTGTATTTGCAAGGTCTTGAGTTTTGTGTCGGGGGGTGGCAATTGAACCCAAACGCCTGGGCAGTGTCGATCATCAAACAGCCGCACTACCGAGGTGCCAGATCGATTCCAGAAGTCTCCGGACCCAGCGCTATGTGTGCATTTGTGTGCATGTGTTTGCGTATGAGTGCATATGAGTGCATATGCGTGCAGATGGTGTGTGCGTGTGGTCTCGTTCTTCTTAGCCCTACTGGAAGCCACGCAGCTTGCCACCGGAATTGAGTCCTGGGGGCCCCCCAGGCAGAAGAGTTGTCGTCAAATCTTCAACCCGGAACTTCTCCAAATCCTCACCTCCCGATGCTCTCACGTCTGCAGACGTAAACCCCGCCCTTTCGGCCCAGGGAACGTCTGGCTTTCGAGGCCGCCCAGGCTGCGAAGGCCGCCGAAAAGGCGGCGCGAGAGGAGGCGCCTTTGAAGAAGTTCTTCAAATTCTTTCGTCAGGGGAGTCGGGGGAGTTCAGAGAGTGGAGGGCGCTGAGGGACTTCAGGGAAGTTGGGTTCAGGGCAGTGGCTTTGGCTTTGCCGTGCATTTCCCATCACTTCCCTCCTCCACCGTTACAGCTCAGATGCCCGTTCGGAAGCAACCTGAAAACCACAGCGACCGAAGTCTTGTGCCTCCAGGAGCTCCGGCAAAGAAGCCGCAAGAGGAAGCAGCACCTTGCCTTGTCCCTTTAGCGTCCTGCGTCTGGAGAGGGGGTTAGGGCGGGTGTGGTGAGACGTAGGGCCGTAGGGGTGGCGGGCGGTGGGCCCACCGGCAAGCCGAGGACGGCCAAAGAGCGCGCCGGGCTCTTGGCGCCCGTTGTTCAAAACACGACGTTGCGTTGTGTAGCAAGCGTGTAAATTCTGTTGTTTGGCTCAACGGTCACTGCTTGCGACATACTTGGCCTCTACCTCGCTTTTTCGAGATTCTGGAGCAGGGTGTAGACCAAAATGTTGCCTGCTACTTGCCGTTCCCTGACCGACTGAGTTTGTCAGCAGCACTCAACAATCCAACTATGACCAGGCCATCACCGGCAAGCTGCTCGCGCGGCGCAACATGAAAGGTCAGCCGTCGATGCAGAGCCGCCCTGGCTGCACTGCACGCAGTCCAGGTCAAAGATTCCATGATGGTTGCACAGCGGTTCCCGAGTGCTGCTGTTTCTTGCAGTTTGGGCATATTTTGCCCTTGTATGTGACCTGAGTTCCAGCAATGCTGGTGTCACTGGATGTTTGTCACATCATCCCCCCGAATTCCGAGGCATGCTTGAGCTGGTCACTGCCAAGCTGGAGGGAGGGCCCGGTGGACCCAAGGCTGCGAAACTTTGCATCCAACCGAATCATACTCATGATTATTCATGCGTCTGTCCCAACAGTTCTTACGTAAACATCTGAGCATCGCCCCCACCACAGATGGGTTTCTTGAGCCCTTGGGTCTCAGTGCAGGCGCGAGGGCGGCAGCGTTAGCAAGCTGCGCACCATGGCGCAACTTTGCCCCATCTGAGCAAGAGACTTACTGGTTTATGTTCACTTAGGGGCCAAAGAAGATGGATGACGTGCCTGCGCCCGGCCAAAATGCGCAGATTTTGTGTCAGGTTGGTTCTGGCTTCGGAGGCTTGTTGGAGGATTTGCTTGGGATATCGGCATAGCAGCACTCGATGCAATGTACTTGGAACTTCCAGCCATGTTGGCCCCACCAGCCTTGAATTTCTGCAATGTGGCACCGCCCTGGTTCATTTTGCCTGCTGACGCTGCTGTTCCTCGGATTCGGCGCCACAGCCTATGCAGTCTGACACAAGTCTTGGAGCCGAGAGGCCCACGAGTTCGGCGGACGCCTCGTCTCGAGCATGAGCGCCGCATCACGAGGATACCAACCGGACTTTCGGATGACTCGGATGACTGGCGGGCTCAAGACCTGGTAGACTGCTTCTTTAGAGATGCGCCAGAAGCCAGAGCAAAAGGAACATCCCTACGCCTGCAGGTCGCCTCGGTTTCTATGACGATCCTCATCTATGCCATGATAGTCCGACGTGCTCTGCAAATCGATCCATCGGGTCGATGTGTCATTTTCGTACGACGGGCTTCCGTTGCCAGACGAGTGCTTGACAAGTTGAAGGGCCACGGCCTGCAGGCAGCGATGGTCGCGCAGCGCTCGCGAATGCGTGATCTTCGCAGCCAAGTGGTGGTTTGTCTCTGTGCCAGTGCGCATCGCCTACGTGGGCATCACTTTATCGTCAAGCTGTGGGACTCAGCTTTGCAGCCAACGCACAGTGAAACAGCGAGGATTGTGTGCAATGCAGTTTCTGCCAGCATGAGCGCGGAATTTTCGTTGCAAAGCGAGGCAGCTGACCTTTCCTACACATTTGCACAAGCTGTTGAGGACGGACGCGCTCGTAACTTTGAGCCCTATTTTTTGCCAGTACCGGGCAAGAACTCTGGATGCGCGGAGCTGCTGAACACGCTTAAAGCGTTGCAGGTCCAGATGCAAAGTGAAACATCAATAATGACTGCAGATGTAGGTTTTCCTTCCACCCTTGTCAACCGTTATCGTTTTGCATGTCCTTTCTCTCCGGGTTTGAGTGACATCTTGCAGTTGGTACCTGAGGTGGATTCGTGGGCACCCGTTCTGGTAGTTCTCAACACGGCCAGGCAGGCCCTGGAATTCGCCAGAGAGCTTCAACAACTGGAGGTGCCAGCAGCAGCGGTCAGCGGCAAGCTGGGATCCTGGCAGAAGTCGTCGGCGCTTCAAGGCGTCCAGCAAGGTGATGTCAAGGTCCTCTGTGTCTCACACTGGATCTTTGAGAGGTCGGACTTGCCGGCCTTCGGCACAGTTCTCCTCGCCCAAGCTAACTTCACCAAGCCCTCCACAAGAGAGGGTCTCCTCCGTGCACTGCAGCCGACCGAGAGCGGTTGCTCGGATTCAGCACTGAAGCCTCTGAAGCTCGTGTGCGTCGTAGGGGAGTCGGAGCTTCTCTACCGGCCTCTGCGGATACATCGGGCCATGCACTTCTTGGGTTCTCTTTGGGGCCCTCGGAAGCCAAGCACTTACCAGGTTCTGAACGTAGAGGGCAGCACCATCAGCACCACTGCCAGGGCTCTCTGGCCCCGAGGGTGGCTGGAGAGCTTGTGCGTTTGGGTGCAGTCGACGAGGCGGCCCCCAAGTTGCACCAGAGAGGAGGAGAGGCTCCTGGCCCACAGGTGGCAGCAGGCCAAGAAGCTATTGCGAGCAGACAGACTGAACGCTGTAGAGAAGGAGCGTGTGGAGACATGCCTCTCACTTCTGGGCGACAGGTCGCAGATTAGGCTCGAAGACCTGTGCAGTTGGATGTCAACCCACAAGCGGCACCCCTATCAGCGGAGCAAGGATCCCATTGAACGACGCCAGAGCCTCAGGCTTTCCAGAACCAGGAAGCGCCTTCGGGAAGGAAAGCTGAGTTTTGCCCAGGCCGCGCTCTTCGAGAGAGCGCTGCAGCAGACGGTGCGGCCCTGGCTGCGGACCCTGGTCGCCTGGCTCCGCTTCTTCGAGCGCCTCCCGCACATGCACGCAGAGGAGCACGAAGAGCGCGTGCAAAACCGGAGGTGGAAGGAAGCCACCAGAAACATGAAGCCTGGGCTGACCGAGGCCGAGAGACAGCTGTTGATGCAATGCCTGAGCTGGAAGCTTGAGCTATCTGCGAGGCCACGGTTTTGGCTAGTCAGCCTCTGGATCTGGACGAGCCTACATCAGCGGCGACCACGAGACAGTAAACAGCGAGATGCTGAGGAGAGACTCCAGGCGATGAGATGGAAGAAGGCATTCCAGCAGCTGTCCAACGGGGACCTCACTGAAAGTGAAGCTTCGTTGCTGACAGATTGCCTGCAGATCGTCGACCAACATTCAGCATGATTTGCTGGCGTACCTTTGGTGTTAAGTGAAGTGGAAGCCGCTATCACTGGCCCAGATTGCAATCACACCAAACACTTCGACGTGATGCGTTTATCGCCTCTACCCGGCTCTGCCCTATGCGGATCAAATCGCTGGGCATGTGGATTTCAGCATCTGGGCGGAAGTTAATGTCCGCGCAGCAACCGTCTGCGGCGCACAAAGTTGCAGTTTTTCTCGAAACCCATTGCTCGTGCACAGAACGTTTCGAAAAAATGCAGGACGCCTGCCAAGTCCTGAAGGTGCAATGGCACATCCTGAACATTGACTTTGTTGGAATCATTGCTGACAAAATTCTTGCTTGTATAAAAACCTCTGTCATCATTGACGATCGGACTCGAGTATTGTTTCCAATCGCCCGCGGCTATCCATGGACTAAACGGCGGCAAACACCTTTTGCCATGGTTTGAGCACTTGTTACGTGATCGCATGCTTCCTTCATGTCGTCTCTTGCCCGCAGGCATCAGAAAAACCGCACGAAACCGCGAAAGGCGTTAGCATCATTCAGTCAAAACCGCACCAAGAACACCCACGAACCGACAATTTTGCGTTCATCTTGCCCTGGATCGCCCTGAACAGCATGCTTGGACACCTTCTGCTGATTGAACCCTAAAGCCTGCAGAGAGAAACACGTGGGGGCGTTTTCGTCACAGAGCGCCGCGCCCTTGTGGCCCATGGGCGACGATGGCCGGTTGGGTGACCTCCAGGCCGAGGGGGGCCTGAATATGTCTGACCTTCACGTCTTTCAAGGGGTTTACTCACACGGTCTGAAGCGGCGGTTGCTTACAACACTCAGGCCCAGACTTGACCAAGGGAGTTTGGCCATTGCAGGGTTTTGGGCTGCTCATTATAGGGGGACCCGACTATTTTCGGGGTCCCGTATGTTCGTAGGCCCCCAAAACAAGGTCTCCAAAGTTTCCGGGGCAGGTGGGCAGTCGAGTCTTCGTCCATGGCCTGGCCTCGGAAGCGGGCACGGCCTTGAACTTCCGTTCTGGACAGGCCTGTGAAGGGCCCATTGCTGAGAGACAGTGACTCAGAGCTTGACGGGATGTTGTGGTGAGACCGGCTATCTCGAGCTTCCCCCGAGTGCCATTTTCATGTAGCAGCGATGTTGTGAAGGATCCTAGACGCTGAACAGTACTGAGAACAGAGCCGCAGCTCATGGACATAACTTTTGGACTTGTGAACTCTTTACCTTCAAAGGCTTAGGAATGTATGGTTTACTTTGAGAGTGGTCGTCGGGGTCTCTCAGCTTTTCCCAGTTGCCAGGTTGTCGCGGCCCAAGAAAACGGTCGGCTTGGTGTGAGAGCCGGGACAGGCCCTCGGTCGATAGACTCTGCTGTGGTGACTTTGGAGAAGGTGCATTCCATCCTAGTGGTCCCTAAGCCCTAAACAATAAACCCTAAACCCTAAACCCTGAACCCTGAACCCTAAACCCTAAATCCTAAACCCTAAACCCTAAACCCTAAGCCTAAACCCTAAACCCTAAACCCTGAGCCCCCATTTCGAGGTTAGCAGGCCAGGCCCCGTCTCTCCGGCTCCTTCGAAGGATCGAATCCCGAAGCCATAAGCCCTAAGCCCTAAACCCTAAACTCTAAACCCTAAACCCTGAACCCTGAACCCTAAACCCTAAACCCTAAATCCTAAACCCTAAACCCTAAATCCTGAACGCCCCTGAACCCTAAACCCTAAACCCTGAACGTCCCTGAACCCTAAACCCTCAGTTCTTGCAAGTTGGTTTTGGTCCGTGGGTGCCGTCCTAGACTTCGTTCAACGACATTCTTTGCGGGAGGTGCTCCGAAGCTCATCAAGTTGCTGGCTCAGAGCACATGACATCAGCTCAGAGTCCTCACACAAGACGCCAGTGTGTCGCAGTGTATCAAGACTTTTTGCCTGTAGTAGGTGCAAGCTTTGGGGAAGAGAGTCTTGAAGCACCGGGACCAAGCAGCAGAGGGACCCTGAACCCAGCTGCCAGCTTTGGAGGCGGATGAACCTTCTGAGCGCCAACCGCGCGGAGGACAGCTTGTGGTTTCTTCGCGTCGTAGCAACAGGGCCAGGGACAGGGCTACCGCAATGAACAAGGTGAAGCAAAACTGCAAGTCTGACATGGTCTGCTTCTGAAGTGTTTGTGGGGGTAAGTGCATCACTCATGCAGAAGGCTTGAGAGAGCTAGGGTTATGGGAAGGTTTGGCTGTGAAGCGCCACGATTGAATCGCACGGCCTGCGGAGATGCAGATGTTTCGTGCCCTTCTTTTCTGGAGCTTTGCAACAGGCGCTTGTGAAGAGGCATTGGTCGCTTACACCTTCGCGGGACGTGGGAGTGCGGATGCCATCGGGTCTGTCCTGTCACGTGTTCTGGGCTTGAGCACAGGGGAAGTGGCCAAGGCCTTTGACCTCAGGCTCGTCACAAACTGCAGCCAAGCGCCACCCTCGGCAAGAACCCAGCTCTGCTTTGAGCTCAGCGATGCGGAGGATGGACGGGTCCGCATCGCTGCAACCAGTGGCCCAGAGCTGGCCTACGGCACCAGTTGGTATCTGCGAACACGCTGCAACATGTCCTTCTCCTGGAACCGAACCGGTGGAAATCAGGTTTCCCTCCCAAAGTCGTGGCCAGGAGTTGGCCAGAAGGTTACCAAATACCGCAAGGTGCCTATTAGCTACTTCAACAATGTCGTCACGTTCAGCTACAGTTACACGTGGTACTCCTTCAAGGACTGGGAGGCATGGCTCGACTGGGCTGTGCTAAATGGGATCAACCTGGTGATCGCGTACACTGGCCAAGAGGAGGTCTATCGCAAGACCTTCAATGCCTTTGGAGTTAACGACTCGGAGTTTTCATCCTGGAGCAACGGTGCAGCCTGGCTGGCCTGGAGCCGTGGCCAGTCCATGCATGGGATCGGTTCCAGCTGTGGAGATGGCTGCATGCCCCTGCCCTTGTCTTGGATGGCTGGGCAGTGGGAGCTTCAAAAGCAGATCCTCGACCGCAGCCGAAGCTTGGGTTTGGTCTCCGTGCTGCCGACTTTTCAGGGGAATGTCCCGCCCATCTTCCGCGAGCTCTACCCGCAGGCGAACATCAGCAAGACGGGGGCTGCCTGGTTGGACGACTTAGATCCCCTGTTTGCCAAGATCCAGCAGCAGTACATGAAGATCATGATCCAGGACTGGGGTACAGATCACTGGTATGAGACGGATGGGTACTTCAACCAGAACCAGGGGCCTTGGGCCAGAACACTCCGAGGCCCAGAGGGACGAGAGGGACGGCCGTGGCGGCGTGCTGAAGACGTGCCGGTGGATCCCGATGCCTTCGCGCATGCGAAGGCAGCCTACGAGTCCATGAGCCCTGGCATACCACGTACCTGCCACATACCCCCGATGTGTGTCCTTTTCTTCTTGCTTGTGTGCCCCCCTGTGTGGTCCCTGTGGTGCCTGTGTGGTCCCGGTGGCCCCTGTGTCTCCCCACCATGCGAGGAGCAAAGTGGATCCGCGGGCTGTTTGGCTTTACCAGGGTTGGATCTGGCGCGGCTGGGGAGAAGACAAGCTCCCCTTCATGAAGGGCTTTGTGTCGGCGGTACCTCCCAAACACTTCGTCATGCTGGACATGTTCGACGAGGTCGACCCAGAATGGAATAAGTTCAACAACTTCGGCTACTTTGGCACCCCCTTCATCTGGTCAGTTCTTCACAACTTCGGCGGCAATACTGGAATGTGGGGAAGCATTTCTACTTTGACCACTTCACGCATTCAGCATGTGTTTGGATATTCCTGGGCAAGCGTTCCCGTTCAAACAGATGTGTAGTCATCCCTGCACGAATAGTAGTTCGCGTGGCATCAGGAATTCTGAGTTCCCAGACGCCTTGAAGCATGCAGCCAGTGTGGCTGGGACGGGTGCAGCACCCGAAGGAATCGATCAGAATCTCGGTCGTCGAGCTTAGGGGGATTGAGGGGTCCTGGTCTCCAGGTTCGCTGATGTTCGCTTGTTGCATAGAGTTTGGAGATGGCCCGCAGTTGAGCGCACCCTTTCTGCTTCTCAGATGTTAGGAATCCCTTCTACTACAGCTTCCTCACTGATCTCCCCTGGCGAGCTGGCCCCATCGACCTGCAGCAGTGGGTGCAGACCTGGGCTCGTCAGCGCTACGGCCGCAGCTCTGCCGCTGCAGAGGAGGCTGGGCATAGGCACAGAGAGGCCGAGCTTCGCCGAGCTTCGCCTGCTTCCAACTTCTAGTTCTGTTTTAAGTTTTAAGTTATAAAGGTAAGTCCACTTGTTGTTAAGTCCACTTGTTGTGGAGAGCTTCTTGGGGGTTTGCACATCCCTGGAAGGCATGGCAGCTGCTGCTGGGGTCCGTCTATGCCAACGAGACCAATGCTCAGGCAATCCGCAGTCGCGGTGGGTTTATCGCTGAGAAGAACGCTGATGGCCTCACCGCCCTGGCGCTTGGAGGAGGCGACCGGGAAGTGCCGAATTGGGTGTCGCCATGCGTAGCCCAATGTTCTCCATCGTACCCTTCTCTGATCGTCTTGGGCTGCAGGTCAGGCCACGCCCCACGAGAGCTGGTACAAGCTGTCAGATGTGGTTCAAGCATGGGGCAAGCTGAATGAGGCACCGGACCGTGTAAGACTACTAAGAAAGATATATGCATGTGAGTGTTTCACCAGGGTTGGTGAGGTTTGAATGTCCGCCTTGAAGTCACCATCCGAGTTCGTGAAGGACTCTGACCATCTCCCCAAAACGGCAGGCTGCCAAAAGCGGCGTCACCGAGACGCTGCGCTACGACCTTGTAAACGCGGGCCGCGAGGCTTCGGGCTGCGACGCTGTGGGCACCGCACAAACATTCAGATTCGGATGCCGCCAGGTTCTGAGCAAGGTCTCCAACCGCTTCTTTGCCCAGATGATAAATGCCACGGGACCCACCGAGGCAGAACCGGACTTCTGACCGTTTTTTTACTTCAGTGGATTGCATCTGACTGCAACGCAGAACTACCAAGCCCGTAGGCAACCGTAGCGGTCTCGATGTCCGTTGCCTCAGCCAGACCCGAGTCCCGCTGGACCCTTCATTTTTGAAGGTCCAGTCGGCGGGCAACTCTCTACTCGCGGTTCTCGCAGATGCGGATCGACCCCTGGACGCAGAGCGAGCAGTTTGAGCTTCGTGTCGGAGATAGAAGCAGATTCACCAACCATGTTCCATTCAGCACCTCTGACTGTTTTTAGATCAACGTTTTAAAGCTTTCTTGTCTGCACGATGGCTAGGCCTGCTCTGCGGTGACCGTGGCTTCCTTGCTAGCGCCCGCATTCGGTGCGCTCCTGCCTGTTTGTGGGTGCTTGGGGGAGCCTTCTCTTGAGAACAGCTCTCGGCTGAGGCTGCAGTTCCAAGGAATCCCCATGAACGTGTCCACATGGGTCTTTAGGAGTGTCTCCCACATTAGGGTGTCTGTCACATGAGTGTGTGGAGGAGCGCGAAGTCCTGGGCTGCCGGCAACGCCACGCTGGAGCGAATGTACCACCCCTAAGCAGCATCAGTCGGCAGATGGCAAGGCATTTTCAGTTATTCCTCCAGCCTGGGAGCTAGCAAACTTGCGAATCCCAGAACCCAAAGGCCTCAAGAACTAAGCACAGAAAGCAAGCTTTGGCGAATCCCTGTCCCAACAAAAGAACCAACCTTTGGCGTCCTTAAAGCCCCCTCCCTAAACAGCGAGGAGCACTACCTGGAGCTGGCTGCCCGGAGCCTCACCACTGTGTGGACGCCGCAAGAGCCGACACTGGGCCCAGTGGCGTGTTTTGTTGGGTCTTTTGATTTTGGGGCAGTGTTTTTTTGTTAAAATTTTGCAGGTTTTGGGGGCTTGGTGCGGCTCTTTCTTTTAAATGCGCAGCGGAGGCTTGGGCAGGGTCGAGGTTGTTACACCACCTCTTCGGATAGCTTCACGACAAGTGCCGAAAAAGCAGAAGAGGGGGGGGCCAAAGGCGAAATAGGGATTCTGGTCATCCCTCAGGAAGTCTAGCACCATCACGGCGCTCTGCGACTATGCCAATCGCCAGTGGGCTGGCCAGGTGGCGTTTTGGGGTTCTCAGAGGTGGAAAGGTCTGCGAGGGTCTGCGAGGGACCTGCGAAGGACCTTGATGTCTCCTCTCGCCAAGCCGCAAGATGCCTGAAGGTCGGGGGCTTCTACACGCTGAGACACCAGTGCTACATTCGGCAGGCGTGCCTGACCCTGTGCTGGGTGTTGGTAGTAAAAGGGCAGTATGAGTCACAGCCTCACGGCCTGCTGCAGTGTTCTGTGATGTTCCGATTGTTCCGTGGCATGTGGACCATCCTGTGAGTTTGTCCTCTGCGAGGCGGTGGAGGATCTGTCGGCAAAGAGGCAGGTCAACAAGACTGCGTGGCTTGGCAAGTTGATCCGACTCCACCCCTGAAAGAGGTAGCCGCAGGATGGTTCAGGCAGCCCTTCGATTCTCCAGCGCTTCTGACCGAGGTTTGACGCGTGCGTTGCAGGGGTCAGCTACGAGTGGACCCACGACTTTGGGTCGGAAAAGTACCCTATGTGCGAGGAGCCAACCAGCTCCTTGGCTGAAGTAAGACGAGAAGAAGATGCCACTGCGAGAATCGTCTTGCGGTTTCCACGTGTCAATGTCCCTCCGTTTGAGGTGATGTGCTGGATATCAGCGTGGAGCTCTTCGCTAAGTATGGCCGCCCTGAGCTGGAGGCGAGACTTTGGGTCTAAGATGAGAGTCTGAGCGAAGTACCGACTCCTCGACTCCTCCTGAGCAGCCGGCATGTACACGGATGGTTTTGCCACGTGACAGAAGCCGAGGGCCTTCTGAAGGAGCAAATAACCAACCCGATCGCCACCAGAAAAGCATCATCCGTTGGGTGCTCCTCGGAAATCCTTCAGCTGCCTGAGGAAGGTTTGAGAGCCGTACGAGAGGCCTCTGAGCTGCCAGGTTTCGCACGTGTATAGCCGCGCAGGCCAAGCAGCGCCACCCCGAGTGACCCTGAGTTCTGGTGCAGGGGAAAGAACGCCATTTGGCCTGTGCACCTTGCTGAAGCAGCCCTAGCACTCGGTGGCCAACTTGCAGCAAACATCTGCCCCTCATCTGCCCTTCCCCACTAAGCTCAGAATCCCGCCCTCCGAGCCCTCGAATCGCCGCGACTTTAATGATTACGTTCGATGGCTTCGATTGCCTGGGGGGGGGGGATCTTCGTTGCTACACTGTTGCTACTTTCACAGTCGAGCCTGCAACCCCCAGTCCCCTGAGACACGAACGCGGACTCCCAGACCCGAAGCTGCCCTAAAACTTGAACTTCACAAACTACATACAAAACCTAAAGCTACCCCACCCTGAACGCCAAACCTATGATTCCCACCTGAGCCCGATGCCTTCATAATATGTCTTTTGAGGACCGGCGCTTGCTCCTGGGCCTCTTGGCGCTCTCGCGCTGCGTGGAGCTCCGCGCGCTGCGGCCGCTGTTCCGGGAGCAGCTCAACGTGACCCGGTTTTTTGTGGGTTAGGGCTCCCGAGTCTCCGAGGCTTAGGGCTTAGGGTTGAGGGTTTCAGAGTTTAGGGTGTGGGGCTTCGGGGTTTGGGGCTTTGGGGGATTCAAGGGGTTTTGGATCCGGGGCTTGGGGCTTTCCAGGGGCTGTGTGCGGGTTGCAAGGGGGGAAGTGGTACAGAACGTGCTGAAAGTGGCAATGCTCCCAGCACCTGTTTCGCATGTGCAAGAGTGACCTGTTGCCAGCAAGGATGACCAGGGGCTCATGCTCCTCATAGCCTCCTACATCACAGAACCGCCCATGTGCCTCTTCCACTTCGGTGGCTTCATGCGGAAGGTCTGGGCTGAGCATTGGCATCCTGTCCGCACAGACGCGGCTCAACTGAGCCCTGAAGCCCTTCTCAGTTCAGACGAGAGTTCGCAATGCACGACACTACGCCAGCTGCTAGCTTTCGTGTCACCATGCGCATCAAGTGAGTATGCTTCACCACAACTACGCATACTACCAGTATGTCGTGCAGGTGTTTCGCGGACCCTGCGCAGCCTGTGGCGTTAGCTCAGCCACCTGAGTTGAGGCCCCTCCGGCTCGACCAGTCCATAAGACTACGTGCAGCAGTTTTGTTCTGCGGCCTCTGTGTGTGCAGGTTCCTAAATGCCACATGTAGGAGAGACGCAGAGTTCTTTGTTGCGCAGCATGTGCTTCGCCACGTGGGCTACTGTGGAATCAGCCAGAGCGACGCAGGCTCGACAGTGCGAGCTGCGACATGGGCCTGGGCCGAGCGTTCTTTGCAGGCGCGGGTCCAGTCAGTCACAACACCCGCCTCGAGTCGCATTTGCAGAGTTTAGTCGCCAGAGATCAGGCGGCTGCGGCAAGCACCCGCAAGCTTGCAGCCTGGACGAGCATCCTGGCGGGATTCGAATTGTGGCAAGCACTTGCCTGAAAAACTAGAGTCTAGTTTCTTGACCCCAGTCATTTAATCGATTGATTGTCCTTGAGGGCTTCCGACCATGTGGGGTTGAAGGGCTATGACACCGAAAGGTCAATTACCTTCAGCTCCATGCTTGAGTGGCTGAGGTTTTTCAATTCAGCGGAAGTGTATGATTCCCTCACCGACGAGTGGTCCGCCCTTCCTGCCATGCCTACTCGTCGGCACGGGGCCTGCGCCTTTCAGCTGCAAGCGGCGCCCCCTTGTGGACGCTGGTTGGGGGCTGGGGATGCCAAAAGAATCCACAGAGGCCTGCTTCTTGGACGGCAAAGTGTACGTCCTTGGAGGCATGCACCTTGTCTTAAGGATCGGACGCTCGTGGGATGGTCGTGGCAGCATTGAATCTGATGGCGAAGCCCTGTAGACTTCACACCGCAAGCCCTCGTCGCAGTCATTGCTGCTCGAGCTGCTGAAGCAGGATATAGCAGGATGCTGTGCGTAATGAACGCCCAAACTTCATCATTGCCTTCTTAGGCCCTGAGGTAGTCCCAGCTTCATGTTTTACTTGCTTCATGTGCTGAAGTGCCAAAAGCAATGCCGGTCGGGCGACTCCGCCTGTCTTAGAGCTGGGGTTGGCCTGGTATGGGCTACGGCGTGCCGTGTCTGTATAAGTCTTACATATGGCACGGCCATGTTCAGACGACCACTGAGAAATGCGTGAGGTTCCAGACAGTGGCGTAGACTTTTGCTATGTGACGGTGTATGAAGCGCACCAGCTCATGAAGAATGACAAGGCTCTGTGTGTTGAAAGTATGGGTGGGATCATGAAAGCTATCCCTTTTCGTGCTCCCAGCGCCTGCAGTCGGCTCTGGTCATCCTGCTAAGCACATGAGCGGGGGCCCCCTGTGTTGCAGGCTGTCTTCGTGGACAGTAGAGACGATGACGACTTCAAGAGCCGGGCTTTGAAAGTTTGCTTAGTAGCTGTTAGACATGTCCTGGTCTTCCGGAGAAGTTGAAGAATTTGCAGGCGCGACTGTGCTTGTTTTTTTCGCCAGAAGCAAGAGGACGACGCGAATCCAGACTTCCTTTCATCTGTCCGCCAACTCCCTCATCATGAAAGCGGGAGGAGTGCCTCGGATGATTTAGGGGGATCACCGGAAGGCCTGAAAGGCGAGAGCTGCCTCTCTCAGTACCTGAGGCAGAGAAGGGCTTGGTCCAACAGCTGGTTGACCTGGTCGCCGGGCTCACGTTTTGTTTTTTTGTGCTTTGTTTTAGGGTTGAGGGTTCTAGATTTTTGGCGGCCTGTTGGGGTTTTAGATGGTCTTTGAGGGTTTTGGGCTTGGGGCAGATGGGTGTAAAATCTTTCAATGGTGCCACAGGTCAATTCCGGCAAGACGCTGGTTTGCCTCAGTGCTTCTGGGCTGAAGTGCAAGGTGATGCGTAAGTGCATGCGTAGTTGCATCCCGACTGAAGCTTTGTGCATGTCTAGTTGCAGTGATGCTGTGAAACATAGTGAAACCCTGACCCCAAGCTGGAGGGAGTACTATGAGTACTGCTAGAGATGTGTGCTTGGTTCCCGGTGACGGAAACGAGGATGCCTGCGTGAAGGGCAACATCAACCGTGGACACGTGTCTCGCTGTCGGCATATTGCCCAGTGCTCTGGCATCCCAAGTTCTTGATTTGCCTCAGCTCTCTCAACTCTCACACCTCTCCCAACTCTGAGCTCTCAAGGTATTTGGTTGAGATGGGCGCGGATCGCGGCAGGATCGTCCGGATGACCGGGGGCATCAACGCGTGGAAGAAAGCGTTGCTGGGCCAGCATTCATCGCGGGGCTCTCCTGTTGGGCTTGACCATTTTCGTCAACCCAGCGTTTTGCAACAAACAGGACCGGCACCGCCCGTCACGAACTGCCGACGTACCAGCTTCCCAAGGCAACTGGATGGAATCCTTGGGGACCTGCGGCCAATGTATGCCGGCGCCATCCAGGCCAAGCCCTTAAACCTGAAGCTATGTGGGCCACGTCCCGAGACTTTCGGGGCTCGTGCCGACTCGTACCAGGTTAACTAGGCCACGGAGGCCCCGAAGACCAAAGTCCCTCTCGACAGCACTTTGCAAAGACGTAGCGACTTAGCATCCTGTCGTGAGTTTTCAAAACCCCCCTCGAGGCAGCAGATTTCGAGCCGCCGAAGGAGGGCCGGGAGGAAGAGGAGGACTGGGAGTGAAAAGCTCATTTGAATGCGAGGTGTGTGAGAGAAATAGAAAGAAGATAAGCCTAGACGTAGTGGCAAGGATTGCTGATTCGGAACCATTTAAAGATCTTGGTCGTTAGTCGAACGCAGCAGTAGCAAGTCGTATGCATGAATCATGACCCGGTCACTGAATGGATCCTGCAAAGCCTCGCAAGGTCAAAGGCTCTGAAGCCATCATGTATGCATTTCCATGAGCTCCAAACCGGGTATTGCTAGCAGCTCAATTTCCTGAAAGCCTGGCAACCCCGACTATTGACACAACATGCCATCGTGGAATCTGCCTGCAAGCCATCATTTTGAAAGTGTGAGAGCCCAAAGAAAAGGCGTTGAGGTCTCAAACCCCAAAAGCGGCAGGGCGATGAGGTGCGACCGCTGCGGGGCGAGGCGCGGGCCCTTGGAAACGGAGGCCAGAGATACTTGTTGGCGAATGAATCTGCTTTGCAGATTTTGCATCTTGCTCAAGAATTCTGGGAAGCACCGGGCATGCAGGGATAGACAGATATAACAGCGGAACATGCGAACCACCAGGGAAGGACAACAGGTCAGACCTCGATGATTGTGTGGAGTCAAAGATGTGATATGCTGAAGGCACGGACGATGACGAAGACTGTATATAACTGTCATCCTCAGACCCAGAGGGAGCTTCAAATTCACAGGTTGCAATGCGGGCCCTGTTCGGGGTGGTTCTGAAGCCGAGGGAGCAAGTGCCCTCTCTAAAGTCCGCGAAGATCCATGAGAGCTGCTTGAGCGAGAGTCTCCCACCCAAAGCCCTAAAAGCCTTAGAAGCTCTGAGCGCCAAACTGCCCCAAACCTTGAACCCCCCACATGGCAAAACCTTGAATTCCATCACCCCTGAAAGACCGCCCAATACTCGCAGCTCTCGGAGGCTATGCGGCCGTGGCGCCTGAACTGGCGCCTGGCCTGCAGGCGAGGGGTGCGAGTAACCAAGCAGCCATAAAGCTCCTCGGGCCACCATCTGCGGCTCAGGGTGGTATGTAACATCAGAAGCCTGCAATTGCTCTTTGCAGAGATGTGCTATGATTACAGGAATCTGGAGTTGGTCAAACGGTTTTGTATTGGAAGTGCCCTGCAGGTGGAGATCCAGGGCTTGGCTGCCTGGCCGAGTATGGTTATCAGGATCCCAAATCAGATGATCGCCAGTTATAACACTAGTGGCCTGAACTTGCAGGCACTGAGAAAACCACCTATGAACCTCCAAGGTTGGGGGCTTTCGTGATGACAGTGATGCGCTGATTTCTGGCCTGACGCCGTATTGAAGGCCCTTGCAAAGCCCGCGGAGTTCTTCAGCTGCGCCCAGCCAAGGTCTCGCGTGCGGATCTGAACGGGAAGCAAGCGAAGATCAAGGAACTTCTCGAGCTTCTTCTCATGTCACAGCTGAACCCTCAATATTGAACCCTAGCACGCACACACCCCCACACACATATACACATCCATGGAGTTTGGCTGGAAGCTGGCAGCATGCCGCAGCATGGAAGCCAGGAGTTCGTTGCAAGCTCCGAGCGCTGGGAAGTTGAACTTCTAGACGAGACGCAGGAGCGCGTCCGCCGCGCGCTGAAGATTTGTTGGGGGAAGGGCAGGATCCAGAAGCGGTTGCAGGGTCTGTGAGTTCTACTACAGGTTCCATCTACAATTGAATTCATGGATTGCGTTGCCTTCATCTGCCAGCAAGCGGTACGATGTCTGCAGCCTGAGCCAGGGCGAGCCAAACGGATCGCCACGAACACCATAGCACGCGATGACCCACACCTCCCAAACTGATTGACGAAATGCAGTTGGTGTAGCTTTCTGCCTAACTGGGTGCCTTGAGTCCCTTTTTGCAGCTATATTCCCCAAAAACACCCTGGAAGCGATCTCTTCTTGGAACATCTGCACCATCAACTCAGAACTACAGAGTAAAGCAACAACTCCAGGCGCTGAAGTCTTCCTCCCTCGCCCTCTTCTCGGAAGCTGCCAGCCCAAAAACCCCAAAAAACACACAAAATCAGCTCAAACTGACCCGAGGCTGCAAGGCCACATGCCTCAAGGTGGCCTCGGCGTCTCTGTGGCCCTAAGTAAGCTTCCTCAAACCCACCCCCGGGTCATGTTTTTTGGAAGTGGGGCATGTTGGGGTTCGGAGTTTGGCTTCTGCAGCCTCTGTTACCCTTACAAGGGGAAGTTGCCTGAGAAACTGGGCACGTGTACCCTTTTGAGGTATCGGGCAAGAGTTGAGACTCCTTAGTCAGTGGCTTACGTTGGGGTTGAGGCTGGGTTTCTAACATAAACACCTCTCCAAAATAGGTAGGTGTGCTTCTACTGCATGAGGGGTATTAGGGGGGGTTGATACACTCAGAGATGGGAGGCGTCGGGGTCGACGCCTCCAGCAGCGCCAGCGGCGCCCCTGGAAGAGTTTGTCGAGGTGGGATGTGGTGGAGCGACTCAGTCGGCAAAAGCTGCTTGCGTCAAAAGAGCCTCTCTGAGAAACTGAGCAGTATGTTGTTCCCAAAGACCCCCTGTGCCGATCCGTGCTGCAAGGTGCCGTTTGAGATAGCAATACAGTCCCAGTACTCTTCGCAAAGCCATATCTAAGACTCCTGGCGATGGCGGCGCAAGAGACACCTGCAAAGTCAGGCCCGGCTTGGCATGAACTTTGTCACTTCCTTGAGGATCGGGCACGCTCGCAGGTTTGTGCCCCCGCGCCCCTTCAGCCAAGATCGTCCGACTGCTTATAGAGCGTTGAAGACCGACCTCTACAAGACGCTTTGACTTAGTGTCTCTGTTCAGTCGAAGAAAGACAGAGATCTTAAGCTAACTGTTTGAAGCATGCCGGAGCTTTCGAGCTAAGGAAGTCGACGAAGGAATCAGCAACTTGTCTTCACCCTGAAATCCGAGTACCAATGTCAAGATAGTCCCGTGGCATCCACGGTGTTTCACCTGAGTGGCCATGACCTGACCCGAGCCAAGGACAAGATCATCAAAGTCACACGGCCAGTCGGCTCCACTGTCCTGACCTCGGAGAAGGGGGCGCCTCTCAGGGAGTTCCGTGGGTGGGCATGCCGAACTCCTAGAGGCGTGTCTTGTGCCTCGAGGTGCGCACCACCGGCGAGCTTTTCGTTGGGGGTGCTGGCGGGGTGTGGGCCGAGCTGGACGTGATGGCCGGTGAGAAGAAAGGCTGCAGCGAGAGAGGGCTTTCTACCTGAAGCTCCAAGCATTTCAGGGATGTCTTGCGGAGTTGGACTTGGAGGATTAATGGCGCTGCTGTCAGTCTCCGTCAGTTGTACTGTACTCTGCTTGCCCCTGACAGAGCAGCCTGTCAGTCTTAGCCCCATGGAGATGGACTGTGATTGCCGAGATGAGGGGCCGTTCGTAATGGAGCTTCGAGACAGGCAAGTGGTTCGACTGGTGAACTCCTCCACCCTGCAACCATCTCCTCTCATCTTCCGAGCTTACCAAGCCTCACCTCAGCAGCTTGTAAATATGAAGGCGGACCCTGCTCTTGAGGCGTTCCACCTGGAAATCCTCGACGGGGTGCCAGCTGTCGGGTGTCTCAAATGGGCACCGCAACCGCAGACCTGCCTCAGAATCCTTCCGAATCGTTCTGTGGATCGCAAGGGAGGCCGTGGGCCCTGGGCAACTTTCGCCATCGCGGCACGCGATGCCGCGGGGATTGCACTACGGTCGCTCGGCCACGGCACCGAGCAGCCGGCGTATCTTGCCGCCAACACGGACAACGGCTTCGTGGCCACGACCTCACTGCAAGACCCATCCAGCCGCTGGCTCTTCCAGCCTGAGCATGTGGCATCACCTTTTGACAGCTTCGACCTCACTGAGCATGAGTACGACACGTTCGCCCGGGATGGCTTCGTGATCGTGAAGGGTGCTGTGCCGAATGAGCGCGTTGAGGATGCCCTACGGTGCATCAACAACTTGCTCGGCAAGGGGCCGGCGGCCTGGGTGGTGGATCCCGATGCACCGACTGCACCAGGCGAGGCGCCGACACACAAATTGCCACCCCTCGGCCACCCGTCGATCATGGAGCTCGTGAGCCACACGTGCCTGGGTGCGGCGGTGCAGCGGCTCCTGAGAGGCCTTCCTGTGCAGCCTGGTGCCGGACAACTCGCCGTGCGCTTCCCTGTGACAGACCGGCTGGAGAGCTTTGGCGACGGAGTGCTCACAGATGCAGCCTACCGGGTGGTGCACAGAGACGACAGCACACAGCAATTCCACATAGATGGCATGGGTAAAGAATCTCCCTTGCCGTTTAGCCTTCTGTGCAAGATCGGCCTGTCGGACCAAACCTCGCAGCATTGTGGAAACTTTACGATATTTCCAGGATCGCACCGGAACCCAGATGTAATTCGCTGGTTTTTCGCCCACCTCTCGGGCAACGAAGGGACTGCGCCGAAGCCACCCAGGCCTGAAGTGGGAGAGCCCCTGCAGGTTCGGCTTGCACCCGGCGACGCAGTGCTGGTGCATCCCTATCTGTGCCACCGGGTGGGGACTAACACGTCCCCGAACGTCCGCTACAGTGTGATCTTTCGATTCCGCACGAGAGACATTGCTGAACATGCCGCAGACCAAGAGGCTCTGGTGCAGAACCCCATGCTGGACTTTCCTTGGTTCAGTCGTGGTGGAAATGCCTGTGCAGAGGACGCCGAAGCTCAGAAAGCAAAGCAGCAGAAGACCTCATCTTGAGCATGTACAGACGAATTCCGGCGTGGTATTTCAATTTTGACATCATTCGGAAAGCCTCACACGTGATGAACAGGTGAGTTGCCGATACAATATGAATTTTGCTGCTTTTGTTAAACATCTACGCAGTACAGGAAGCTGTGCACCAGGTGCATGTGGAATGCACACCAGAGCCTCGGAACGTCTTGTCGACGACAGGCTCGAACAAGGACACACACCGCAGCGAACCCAGGAAAAGTGCGGAGTGTCCCAGCTTTTCAGTTAGCTTTAGATTGACCCTATCTTTGACATGGTAGCGGAGCTGCCGTTCCAGGAACCAGAGGCAGCGATGATGCTACACATAGCAGGAGTAGGAATCGTCCTCATAGCCATGATGGCTTCTCTCGTCTGTGGGATGATGCAAATGTGGAAACAGGAAAAGAACGTCGAAGTCCGAGAGTTCTTCGAGTACCTCCCCACAGTCCGGATAGCAACAAGAGCAGGAAGAAGGTACCACAAACCAGGTTGTGCTCACATCAGGAACCTGACGGTTGCTGGTGGAAGAGTGAGGGACTTTGCCCCTTGCTTCAATTGCTTCCCTGAACGATACACGATTCAGGAAGTGAAGATGAGGAACATGAGATGCTACGGAATGGCAGCAGGCATAGTGCTGCTGGTTGGTTTTGCCCTGGGGAGCCTCGCCACTTTGTGCGGGATGAGAATGACTCCAGGAAGATATGGCTTCGAAGAGAATCCGTGGCAGGCCCTTGGACCCGGAAGAGCCAAGGATGAACTTGCCCTTGGAGATGACAGATCCTCCAAGGAAGAAAGACGTGGGAGAAAGGTGATTGCCGAGATGGACGAGAGTGAGTTGATGGTTGTGTGGACGAGCATCCCAGGAAAGCCCAATACGCATTCTCAGAAGAACTACGACAAGTACTCCGCGAACCAGGACTTCATGAATGCCTACACGATTAGGAGCATCGACATGTACATGAGTGAAGAAGATGAGAGCCTTGAGTCCGGCTACGCTCCTAGGTACCTAGTAGATGAGAAGCTAGAAGAAGGAAAGTTTCACAATGTAGAAAAGATCCCTTTCAAGGAACAGTTCGAACAGCTAGAAAAGAAGTTTCACGACGTCGTGCACAGCTTAGTGTTTGAAGGAATTCATCTCGCAGTTTTCGCAGGAACACCTCTAGGAATGATTACTTGGATCATCCTATCGTACTTCTCACGATTGTTCTTTACAGCAGTACAGAAAAGAACGAAGAGAGCGAAAGAGCCCAAAAGGAAAAGCATGAGGAGAAGAGCAGAAGTGAGGAGACAGCACAAGACAATGTTTCTTGTTGTGCTTGTGTATAGCAACTTGGAAGCAGCCAAAGGAATGGAAGATGCACTACAGAGACTTGCAGAAATCAACCAGCAAACGCTGCAAGGAATACAAACCTTAGCAGAAGAGATGAGGAGCAGTGCAGCAGCCGGCACAGCCCGAGAGCAAAGCATCACAGCAAGCTTCAGCAATACACTGCAGGCAATTCAGCAGCAGAGTGCAGAGGCACAGCACACTTTGCTTCAAGCACAGGAGACAGCAGTAACAACTTTCGAGGAGATCGGAAGCAGCCTAGAGAGAGCAGTGAAAGGAAGAAAGCCAGGTGACGTTGAGCTTCACAAACTCATCAAGCCTCCAGAAGTATTTTCTCCAGGAACTTGGCAAGAAGAGAAGAATGGTTTCATGGAGTTCAAGCAACGACTTCGAGTTTGGCTTGGCGCTATGGATGAAGATCTTGTGGAAACCATGGACCTCGTGGAGAACGACCTAAGGAAGAATGAAGTGCTGGACATGAAAGATATGACTGATGAGGCCAAAACGCAAAGCAGGAAGTTGTATAGCATTTTAGCGTCTTACACCAAAGGCAGACCGTATCGTGTGGTTCGCCATACGACAGAAGAGAACGGTATGGAAGCCTATAGGATGCTGTTGTTAGAATACCAGCCTGTGAATAGAGCAAGATCGCTGGAACTTTTCCACAACATCATGAATTTCCGTTTTGCCAAGGACAAAGGCATTGCAGAGAACATCCTTGAATATGAGGAACGCATTGAGCAGTACGAGAAGTCCACTGGAGAAAAGGTGCAGGAAAACTTGAAGGTGAGTACATTGATTCAAGGAATGAAGCCTGAAGTAAAGAGACATTTGTTGCTCAACCTAGATGAGAAGATGAAGTACCCGGCACTTAGGCAGTATCTTGTGAACTATGAGTCGACCGAGAAGTGGACCAATTCACTTACGCAGTCCCAAGGAACACCCTATAGGACCACTACTGACCTAATCGACAAGGGAGAAGATCATCAGGGTGTTGCAGCCATGGATGTGTCTCAGGCTTGGAAAGGCAAAGGTAGAGATTGGTACGGGTACAAAGGTAAAGGAAAGAAAGGTGGTAAGGATTCAGGCAAGGATTCAGGCAAAGGTGGTTTCAAAGGTCGAGGCAAAGGAAAAGGTAGAGGCAAAGGCAGAGGTGGAAACTGGAAAGGCCGAGGTAGAGGCTTTAGAGGTTTCAAAGGCAGAGGAAAAGGCTACAAAGGGTTCAAAGGTAGCTACAAAGGTAAAGGCAAAGGAAAGGCCCAAGCAGCTACAGGAGTTTGTCATTACTGCCAGAAGTATGGACATTTTGAGGCCCAGTGTAGGAAGAAACAGAGAGACATGGGGTACACGGCTAGGAATGTAGAAATGCAGGAAACTCAGAGTGAAGCCCCAAGTAGAGGAACAGCCTCAACCCAAGCTCCAACATCGAGAACAGCGACAACATCAGCCAGTTCATCAGGTCAAGGAACCCAGAAGCCGATCATCAGGATGGTAACAATGCACCACATCGGTGATCCACCGACCAGCTTTCCTGAGGAGTTCGAGCTGAGCGAAGACTCTGAGGAACTTGAAATTGATTACTTCGGGAGAGTTTTGATGGTTTCGGCTAGTTCAGGAAAGTCAGAGCAGGAATTTCAGATTGGAAGTGAGAGTGATGAAGAGAGTGAAGACATAGAGAAGGACCCCTTGTACTGTTGGTACACCTCAGAACCAGAGAACTTTGTTAGGACAGTGAGAGAGAGCCCAGGTGCAAAGGAAATTGAGGTTGTGCTTGACTCAGGCGCAGATATCTCATTAGCCCCTATGTGGATGCGAAATTTCGGTAGGAAGGTCCCGGACCGACGCAGGATTGAACTGCGAGACGCTCAAGGAACTAGGATAAAGGTACAGGACCAGCGGGTTATTGAGGTTGAGTTTGAGGATGTTGGTGGAAACTGTGTGAAGGTTGAGGAAGTCTTCTTGATTTCATCAGTTGTTCACCCTCTCTTAGCTGTAGGAAAATTGTTGAAGAAAGGTTGGGAATTTCGGAACGGTAGTGAGACAGGAACTTTCTTGGTTGAAGGAAACACTTCCATAGCAGTAGCTTACAACAACAATTCCCTCACCGCTAAAGCTTTTGTCAGGACAGTCTCGACATCCCAAACAACAGGAGTCCCTACGCCAATCTATCTCTGTGAAACGCTTAGGAACCTCGTAGCTGAAGGTCGAATTGGATGGACAAGTGTGACCGAGCCCTATGTAGTCCACTACAGCCCAAAGAGCTCAGAGCATGTTGACCCAGCTATGATGTATCCTCAAGGAAAACATCCTTTCAGAGCTGTTTTGGTTAGAGACACCGAAGGCTGGCAGCTCTTGCACTACAACGAAAGGTATGAAGAGCTAGAAGAACCTTTTGGCCACATCTATGATGAGAGCCAGAACTTTGAGGTATTGACCTTGATCTCGTCCAAGGCATTTCCTCCTTACCTCATAGGAACACCCAAGAAAGCGGAAGACAGACGTACATTTGAAGAGTACACTGATGACAAGTGGTCTCTTAGCAAGGATGGAACTGAACTGATCAGGTACCACCACACGCCCAGGAAGACACGTTTTCATCCGCTCGACTTGAAGGACATTCCCGTAGAGCGTGAGAACCTCCAGAACGATAGATCCACCTACGGAGAGGACCCAGTGAACCATGAGTTCTTTGAGGACAAGATGCCATGGATTGCAGATGAGTATGACGAGTTCTCATCACCTTTCGGAGTGAGATCATGGACAGGACAGTCTAAGTTCAGGTTGGTCTACCCAGTAGATGGTTCAAAGGCCCAACAACAGGAACAAAGGCTCAAAACAGTCCCGGAGAATGAAAGCATGGAGATTGACGAACAGGAACCACAGGCCCCTGCACACAGGTATGAACTTCATGGAGAACTTACGTTCATTTATGATGGTCATGAGTACAACCAGCAGAACAGCCTGAAGATCCTCAAGGAATTGTGTACAGAACTTGGAGTGTCTAAGAATGGCTCAAAACAGGACCTCCTTAGAAGGCTCAGTAGGAAGATCATGGAAGATGAGAGACGGTTAGGACTCAACACTGCTCAGAAGAAGTACCAGGAATATGCCATTCCACAACCGCTCAAGGATCAAGTCATGCCCAAACCTGAAGAAGTTGAGGTACTCAATTTGACACATTTACCGTATGCCACTTGGTGTCCAGTATGCGTTGCGTGCAAAGGAAAAGAGTCGCCACATCCAACTCAAAGCCCTGAGAAGGAACGATCGTCTAGACCCACATTGTGTATGGATTTCTGTTTTACAGGAACAAGTCATGATGAAGCCCCGACGGCAGTCAGCTTGGTTTGCATTGACTCTTGGAGTAGGAGCATTGCTTGCATTCCAACTGCAACCAAAGGAAAAGGTTTGATCGAGCACATTGGCGAAGGCGTTACGTACATGAGCACTCAACTTCAGTACCAGACTATCAATTTGAAGGCAGACAATGAAGGAACCATGAAGAAGCTCAAGCAGATCATCCTGAAACAAAGGTCAGCTCTAGGACTAGGAACAACCCTTCAAGATGCAGTTTCAGGCCAGAAGGAAACCAATGGCATGGCAGAGCGTGCAATTCAAACTGTGCGTAGGCAAGCCCTCACGTTGATTCAAGGTTTGCAGG